TCTGTCCCGGCCCTGACCCTCGTGTTACAGATGATCGAGACAGTCGGTCTGTCCCCTGTCTGTCCCGGCCCTTTGATTGACTTCATAATAAGGAATAAAAACAGATTTTCGAGACCCACGCGAGACAGCTTACGTCTCAGAGACGGAGCCGGTCGGTCTTACCGGCGCACAGAAGAACCAGCCAGGCCAGGCGGACAGACATCCGTGCCCTCTCTCCCCTCTCCACGGACACGCCGCCCCCACGCCACGGCCACGACCCCCTCACAGGGGCCGGAGCAGGCTCGCTCTCTGTCATCCGAGAACCAGGGTATCTTCTGCGTGCGGGCGAACAGGAGGGCGCAGGCCGGTCTCTGACTCTCACTCGCAGCCGGTCAGGAGTGGCGAGGCCGTGGGCTCTCAGCGAGGCGGACTGGAGACTCCTGCGCGGTCCCACGGGGCGCCCAGGTTCCACGCAGTTTCGCGCCTTCGAGCGATCGCTGCGATTGCGACGCCCCTTCACCTGCGGGGCGAGTTTGCCCTCAGAGGCGAGGAGGAAGAGGAGGAGGAGAAGGAGGAGGAGGTGTGTCTCTGCAACTTCTGGCGGTTCGGGCGCGCGCTGGTTCGGTTCGGAGGACCCGGGCAGGACAGCCGCGCTCGTGCGCTCCTCGTGAAGACACGGGGGTCCGGCCGCCGCCAGATACAGGCGGGAGGGGTTTGATAATCAAGCGTGCGTCTCCGTGGGGGTGGGAGTGGGTCTAGAATGACAATGCTAACGCAGCACCAGAAAAAAAGATCCAACCTGTGGGTTTTTTTTTTTAATCTCAATGGTTTATTGAACGTCAGATTATACAAAGGAGAAAAGGAATGCAAAAAAAAGAGAATAAAACATACAGAACAATTCGCTGTCCGAGGTCATTACAAATCAGAACACAAGTCACAGTTTTTACATACATCAGTTGTGTCTTGTGCCTTGTTATTGTTTTTTTTATCTCAATGGTTTATTGAACGTCAGATTATACAAAGGAGAAAAGGAATGCCTTGTTATTGTGGAACTACTCAAGTAATATTGGAGAGACATCCAGACCACTTCGTGTCGTGAATATGATACCGACAGAGTGTTCCTAACAGATTAATTATAAATAAATGTTCTTTTTCCATATTACACGTTCTAGTCCGCTGTCAGTATAACAGACATGTCTGTCCTGCTCTCCGTGCGGGCGGGCGGAGTCGTCTCTGTGGTTAATGCTCTCGGACACGGGTCCCACGTCCTGGTGCGTCCTCAGCCCGAGCCGTATCAAGCCCGCTTCTCCCCGGACGGGACACGCACACACTCCCGCCAGCAGCCGGCC